CCTGGTGGCATGACCCGAATCTTCATTTCTGAAGAGTCTGAGACCCTGGCTCCCATGCTATTTTCAAGCTATGGTGGTGCAATTGTCTGTTTACTATCAAATTTGGTCAAGTAGGGTCCAAATGGATCATGTGAGTGGCAAACATATTTCTCCCTGCCCTTACTGGGTCACATAAGCACTTCCTCCTCCTGAAGAACTGGGTTAATTGCCTGAGCCCAGATAGTGGCTCTTCTTGCATAATGGTCTCTGGATACAAAGTCTTTGCAGTGACAGGCAGAAGCTATGGCTTAGAGTTCAGCGGGACTCTTTCCATGTCCCCTGGCAGAAGTGTGCCCCCATAGGGAATCAGGACCTTTCATCCTACGGAGTCCTGACTTGGGGGCTGGCAGGGCCATGGATGGCAGACGGAGAGACAGGAAGCACAAATTCCCTAAGTGTATTATTAGGAATACAGATAAAGGTAAGCAGGGCCCTTCCTGCCTCTACCCTTTGTTTCCCAGGCCCAAGTATAGGCCTATATAGGTCAGACATCTGACATGTGTCTTGCTGGACGAAAATGAAGTTCTCTTCTGGAGGATTTAGAAGAGAATCTATTTCCTTGCCTCTTCTTTCTCCTAGAGCTCACTCACATTTCTTGGTTCACGGCCCCTTCCTCCATCTTCAAAGCCAGCAGTGTTGCATCTCTCTATGCCTCTTTCATGGTCACATTTCCCTCTGAATCTCTGATTCTCCCTTTTCTCATTTTTAAGAATCACTGTGGTTACATCAGGCCATCCAGATGTCCAAGATAACCTTGCTATCTTAAACTTAGATGATTAGCAGTCTTAATTCCCTCTGCAACATTAATTCCCTTTTCCCATATAACCTACATAGTCATATTCCAGGGATTAGGCTGTGAACATCTTTGGGAGCCTGCTCCTCACATTTCTCATACAACTCACTTATGGTCTCCTTTCTTGCTCATGCTGCTCAATGCTAGGTATTCCAACTCCATTATATGAGAGACTGGTTTTTTGGCCACACTTGACATTATGACTTGATAAATCTGATAGAACTCATTACAAAATGGGGAGATTTGGATGCAGAGTCACTTAATGTCTCATGGTTAGGTGCTCCCTACCGGGGCCCAAAAGGTATATTCAAGCAGTATATAATTCAAAAGGAGTTGTTATTGAAAAGATATGTAATTATCCACTGCAAAAACATGGCCTTTCTCCAGAACCCCAAAACTTTGCCTTGTACTTTTCCCACTTGGGCTTGCTTTCAACTCCACACGGTATCTTTTCCCACATCTGATACTTCTGATACCAGAGGGTCAGCCAGGGCACATGGTCCAAGTAGCCATAGTGTTTTCACTATAGCTTGGATCTTCTGGGACTCTTTCCTAATCCAGACCCCACTCAAGGCTGGCAGGCTATAGTGTCCCTTGTAAATTGGCTGAAACAGTATACCCATGTGTAGAATATGCTACCTTTAGAACCCAAAGACGTTTATCAGGCAGTGTACTTTCTTTTTCTCCATGGGGTATGCAAGATTCAATAATTCATCCTTTTCTTTGGATGGGTTGTCTTAGCATGCCCCTGATTTAGGGGGCCTCTGATTCCTCATAGGGTTTACTTCCTGTCACCTGAAATGCACATGTACTGGCACCTCCAAGGTATTGATTACTTCTTGCCATCTGGTCTAATTAGCATGTTAACATCGATATAGTAGACAGGTGTGATGGTCTGAAGGATGTACAAATAGTCCACACCTTTTCTATCTATATTATAACAAAAGGAACACTATATTTAATATAGTCCTAGGGCAAAAATACACATGTATACTGTTGTCTATTCCATATGAGTGGAACTATTTATGATCCCTTTTTCTGTCAGAGATAGAAGAGAATGTATTAATTCAATTGATGGCCACATACCATGTACCTGAGTCAATGTGCATTTGCTCTAGCAAAGATTCCACATCTGGCGCAGTGGCTGCAATTGGGCACACCAATTGGTTGTGATAGTGAACGGTCATTCTCCACAACTGATGAACTAAATGCATACATGACAGGGAGCATCATTTCTGTATCCTTTAGATCCTTAAAGATGGCACTAAGTTTCATGCCTTGTGCCCATTGGAGTAATCCAATGAAAAGTGGAGCAGAGTGCCCTAAAGATTTACAGTGCTGAGGAGATAAAAATTGGAGTTCTGAATTTGATAAGGCAGGAAGTGGGAGGACACTAGTAAACATCCCAAGGCCTCGGCTGGGGCCCTTCCAGGCTACAGTCTAGAAGCGAAGCCAACCAGAGGTAGACAGAGCCTTGACGTTCTGCAACTGAGTCTCAAGTTGATTTTATCCATGACTGAAATCTGATCATTAAGAGGTCTGATTATTAATCAGATCTTAATGACCTGATTTCACTGTGTCAGGAGGATACAGTAAACCCTCATCGGAGGAAAATAACACAATTCAGATGACAAAGTAGGAGATAACACTTCACCCAGAAAGGCATCTGACATTTTCTTTTCTTGTAAAACCAATATGATGCCAAGACCACCCCAGCTGAGCTCTTGAATATATCATTTTCATTTAACTGCTTTTTTTGACTTTTGGATTCTCCCTTTGTTAGTCAATGAGTCTTAGTTGACCCATCTCCAAAAAGGGATGCCAGATGGAAGAGGCCTCCTTGAGTCAGGCAGTGGATCTCAAAGGTTTGGCAGCAGGTTAAGTGGTGGCTGCCTTTATTGGTGTGTATTTGTGGCTGCTTCCAGTAGGTGGCAATATTGTCCTAGAAAATGGCCTGTGAGTGCTTCTGTATTTAAGCAAAGCTGGGATTTCCCATTCTTTTGAAGAGTCTATATTGTTGTTGCTAGACTACTGAGAGGGGACAGGGAAACAAACTGAGAGGATGATCTACATGTCCCACAGAAAGCAGTTGCTGAACAGGGTGATTCTCTCTGACGCGAGATGAGGAAGTGAAGGCACGCAACATCATTCCACAACGGTATCTTGAATCTGCCCAAGGAGCTCCATCCATAACATTACTTTAGCTTTCTTTCTCCCACAGCAAATCATACCTAAACTCCATCAGTTGAATTCATTTGCTTTTCCTCCTATAGGAGCATAATGAAAATCAGGCTCCAACAATTGTGCCTGTCTAGGAGCCCCGGGAGGTTCAGGGTGACAGGGAAAGGACAGCTAGGGTGGCAAATGGAAGACAGTAGAGAAAGAGGGAAGAAAACTTGGTTGCTAGCCTTTTCCCTCCTTTAGCTCCTTGCTCTAGGGTCAGAATCTAAGCACAAGTGTCAGTTCTTTTCCATGCATCTCTCAGTATTTGGTGAACACCCAGGCCCAGAGATCCCTTTCTACCCCTATGCACACTGCCTCAGCTCCATCCTTTAGTCCTTGGTGCCTTTGTCCATTCCTGTACCCAACATCTTGTTCTCTTACAGGACAGGATAGGATGGTGACTTGGGCACCTGAATCCAACAGAGATATAAGCTTGAGCCTTTCCCTCCCTGAAGTTCCCCAGTATATGCACACAGGTGTGCATGGCCTCCGTCCCATTTGGGGACAGAGATCTCAGTTGCATTCTAATTATCTGTCTCTAAAAGCAGCTGAGGTTGAGGGGGAAGGGAAGGGATGGGTTAAAGGGGGGCAAAGGGAAAGGAAATCGGCTACATCCATTTTTAGTTTTGAATGACTAGTTTGGATTCAGTCAAATACATTTCAAACTTTTTTGCTCACCTGAAGCTATATACCAAATAGCAAGGTCCTTATTGCTGACACCATGTATTTCAACTTCAGGGATTCTTCACTCAGTAGTCACAATCACATTGCTTTTCTGCTGGGCTGTGGGGCTTGCTGCTCCATTGTCATGAGAGCATCCTTCCTGTTCCTGCCCAGAGGAGACTGAGTCACATGAGTAACTCAGTTACTCAAAGAATCATTTGGGTGGCTTATTTCAATTCTACCTCTAGCCACACAGACTCATTAACAGGTAGGTCAATGGGAGACCCTTAATTCCCTCATCCTTACCCCCGCTGCACCTTCTGGAGAAAGCACAGCCCTGCCAGCACCTTGACTTCAGGTTATACATTTCTGTCCTCTCATGACTGTGAGAGAATAAATTGTTTTAAGCCACCAAGTTCATAACAAATTACCTCAAACTTGGTGGCTTAAAACTATAGAAATCTACTCTCTTACAGCACAGTTCTGGAGACCAGAAGTCTGAAATCAAGATGTTATCAGGGTTGGTTCCTTCTGGAGGTTTTGAGGAGAACCTGTCCCATGCCTCTCTCCTAGCATTTGGTGGCCTCTGGCAATCCCTGGCAACCCCTGGCTTGTAGACGTCTCTCTCCAATCTCTGTTTCCATCTTCACGTGGCCTTTCTTTCTGGGTCTCTCCTCTGTGTTTCTTCTTTACTTATCAGGATGCTCGTTACTGTATTTAGGGCTCACCCAGTGTAGGATGATCTCATCTCTTGAATCTTGATTTAATTACATCTGCAAAGCATTTTTGTCTAAATAAGGTCACATTTACAGGTATATAGGGTGAGGATAGTGCCTGCCCTTAGGGGCAGGCACAGTTAAACTCACAACAACCTTGTTCCGTCCACTATACCATTTCAGAGAGATCTGGAGTAGAATGTGATAGTGGGTTAGCTCTGTAACCGGGAATTGGATGAGTGAGTGGCGATAAATCCAGGCCTAAGCTGCATTTTCTAGCTACCTGGTCTGTAGAACTAGGACAAGAGAAAATCAGAAAAAGGTATTTGCTACATTCTGAAATGCTTATAATATTTCTTAAGTGATCCAAGGTAGGTGTACTTCAGATGCAAGGATGGCCATAGTAGTGTCTGGATCTGATGAACCAGCTGTTAGGAGAAAGAACAATAAGCTACATTTCAAGATTAAGTCCCAGTCTTTTCCAAGGTACCACCGATTTGGGCAAAAATTTAGTTATACTTCCCTATCACACAGGAAACAGGTGTAATAATATCTGCTCTAATGGATATTAAGAAAATATGTCAGAAATTGTTTTAATAAACAGTAAAGTCACATAAGTTTAAGTCTCTGTGATGATTAGAGAGGCACTAGGCTTGAAACCATATTTGAAATGATACAGTCAATTCTCATTATTGTGGTAGTTATAAAGATGCCGCAAATACTGAATTAGCAAATACTGAAGCATTGCCTTTAGGAGTAACACAGTGTTAAATTCCTATTATCTTCATTTTCATCAAAGTCAGTACATAAAGTTGCTTTATGTGTGTTTCTGTTAAAAAGACATCTTATTTAATATATATTGTTGATTTCTTAACATTGAACTCACAGCCAAAAATGCTGTAACTCATGTCTGAAAAGCTTATCTAATACATACATTTTCTTTATAAGGCATATCGGAGCCATCTGTTGCTAGGGAACACTCGACAGAACCTCAGTTTTATGAATGGGGCCCATTTAAGCAGAAAAGTCACCACCAACAACAAAAAGGAAAAATGTGGAAAATGTACTAAATATATAAACAGAATCTGATTATATAGCATTCTAGAAGATGTAAAACCATATAGTAAAAAGATCAGTTTTTTTTTTTTTTTTTTTTTGGCTGGGGTTCAGGGGAGAGGGGAGGGATATGAGGGATACATAGGTGAAGCACAGATTTCTAGGGTAATGTAACTATTCTGTATGATAAAACCCATAGAACTTTACAGCACAGAGTGAATCAATGGATACACATTAAAATATCATTTAGGAGGTCATGGGGTCAAAGGAAAGAATTCAAACTATGACAAGAAAATCTATTATATGTATGTATGACTGTATTATAAGCATATAAAACGTCACTGAAGGAGGTGAGAAACAAGAGGGTGACTGAAATAACTTTGGGAATGAATGGAATATGTAAGACTAAAAGCAAGGAAATTGCATGTTGGCACTGTATTCTAGTTGATAAAATTATTTCCCATTGAGGTAGAGGTTAACAATTCTGACACTGCTATATATGTATAGTTGGATTAAGCAATTAAGTGAATGTGTGAGGGATGGCAGGCATCTCATGCTTCTCACTGTTTGGAGTTGGAATTTACAGATAAGGAAGGCATATATACATATGTATATATATACATATATGGGTAAATATACACACAAATATTTCTTTGCCCTGTCAGCTAAGGGGGCCTAAAAGAAACAACACCCCACCAGCGATGAGCATATCTAGTGCCTAGATCTTGGTTTCTAATACCATTCTTCATTAAAAGTCACCAGGTGTTTCACGGTGAGCAGGTCTGTGCAAACCTATCCCCAAAGACCAAAGAAGCTGAGAGGTCAAACAAAGAGGCTGACAAATATGGTTTCTCAGAAAGAAACACTTAATAGGAACTTATAAACAGAAGCAATGTTTCTAGCAGCCACTAAATGGTGGCACTCACCCTCCCAAAAGTACCCTTTATATAGCAAGCATTTTTGGCAAAACGTGTAGCTGGTCATATCTCAGACTTTCTTGTGAAACATTTGACCACTGGGGAGGTTAGATAAGCATCTTTATGAGGGGTTATCTGCACTATCAGCATTGTTTAAAGACATTGCTGCAGAATATCTTGGTATGCAGGAGTCAAACAGCAGTCATCGTGCCAGCTACACTTCAAGATGACATCACTCTTGCAATAAAACAGGCTGTTTTCCTACACTCCACCCCTTGAAACCAGCCGTTAAAATCCTACATGCCCACCTTCTGTTATAGTCCCTGGACCTAGAGGGAGGGTGCTTGATATTGCATGGCTTTAGTAGCATTGCAATGGCAATGGAAAACAGAATGGGTCCAGTGGAATTCCAAATGAGGGAGATTTGCAGGCTTGGTTGAATCATCTATACAGTCTTCATAATACCATGAAGAAGTAAAACAATGAGAAAAACATAACATTAATAATCGAAATAGTAGAAATCTAAATAAAGTAATATGATGTTTAAGATATCTCTTGCCTCAATAGCCTATAAATATGGGAATTTCAGGACCCATATATTCTGACAGTTTCAGTAATATGAGGATTTTGAAAATTCTAAAAGATTTTGAGATCATTTCTAATCAAGCATTTAGCTCTTACGTAAGCATCAACTGCAGCCCCAACTTTTGCAACTGATTGACCTGCACATTTTTCTGAGCACTTATTTTCCTTATGTCAGATGTAGGGAATCATGAGATGAACAAGTTTTGGTTCCTGCACTGTAGCAAATGAATTTAGGCAAAGATATGAAAGATGAAAAAACCCAATGATTGTAAGACTTTTAGTGTCATGAAACTGATTATTATTTAATCTTGTTATTCTTCACATTGCTTGACTTTAAAATAGGGCAAGTTGGCCAGGCGTGGTGGCTCACACCTGTAACCCCAGCACTTTGGAAGGCTGAGGCAGGCAGATCACGAGGTCGGGAGTTCGAGACCAGCCTGACCAACATGGTGAAACTGTCTCTACTAAAAATGCAAATAAAAATAAAAATAAAAAAAATTAGCTGGGTGTGGTGGCGTTTGCCTGTAATCTCAGCTACTCAGGAGGCTGAGGCGTAAGAATTGCTTGAACCTGGGAGGTGGAAGTTGCAGTGAGCTGAGATTGCACCACTGCACTCCAGCCCGGGCGACAGAGTGAGACTCAGTCTCAAACAAAACAAAACAAAACAAACAAAGAAACAAACAAAAAACTGGGCAAGTTATAGTCTATCTCAGAGTGTTTTTAGGACTAATTTCTTTATGTGCTTAGAAAAATGTTTGGCAGATAGAAAACGGTTATTATTATTATTATTGATAAGATGACCATTTTGGAATTTAGAAAACCATTATCAATGTCTATGAAATAACTCCATAAGTCATTCCTTTAAATCTAACAGACTGAATTCTCACAAGTCCTCACCACTTATCATTTCTACATCCTGCTGACTTACAAATACTTCTTCATACCATGGCTTATGTCTTTGCTTAATATCAAGGAGGATGGATTCCATAGTAGAGCCAAACTCAATGATACTACGAGTCTCATTTTGGTAGTTATAAGTAAAGCCAGCAACATGCATGGCCACCAATGAACCTTTTGAATCAAACACAGGGGAGCCGGAAGCCCCGAAGAAAAACTCAGTGTCATAGGTAATCACATCAGGGTTGTGAACTATTTTCTGGAAACTGCTTTGAGTATACATATGGACATACCCTGGACTTTCTGCTTCTTTAGACTGAACATGTTCCTGACATTTCTTTGCTCGCTGACCCTGGGGGATCACAGCACAAGCATCAATATGCTTTTTTTCTCCATATGGATGGCCAATAATATGTATCAACCCACCAAGTGGCACAGGAGTAATTCCATTGTATAGTTCCATAGGTACTTGTTGTCCATTTTCCTTCAGTTTCAGGACAGCATAGTCGAGCTCTTCATTATGTATCTCAAACCAAGGTTCAACGAAAAAGTAGTTTGTTTCCTTTCCTTCTGGCTCTTCATAACCAAATGTCACCCTTACACATTGACCAATTATGGCTGCCCACTTACTTGGCTCTATTCCGTCTCCCACAATGTAATCTATTACATGCCGACAAGTTAAAATGAACAATCCTTTAAAAACAAAGCAGGTGGCGCAACCCGTAGTTGCACTGTCCCAGAATAAGTACCCAACTGAGTCACTGCGATGTGCAAGAAGTTTCACTACTTTAATCGAAGAAGAGTTTTTTGTTACTTTCCCAAACTTTACTCTATGCAATTTAAATAATGTTTCCCCATTTTTTACTTTCATTTTTTTCTTGAAGTTTTCCTTGATTTTTTCACTTTCTCTTTTCAGACTGGGGTACTGAGCCACGATTTGTTCTCTCAACACACAGGTGTTTCTTTTCTCTGACTCAGGATTCCGAGAAGCTGCTGCACTGGGGACCATTCTTTTCTCAACCTCAACCTGAAAGTGTTTGCCTTCTAATTCATCGACTGGCTGGGTGCTTTCTAAAATAGAGTCATTGTTTTCAATGAGTTTCCAATCATCATTCTCCAGAAAGGAAAGAAATCTGCCATCCTTGCACAGAGCGTCCTTGATGGTTTCTCCTTTGAAAGCATAAACACAGAGTTTGCACCCCTTTTTGTGAAGCTTCCCACATTTAACAATCCTTCTTTTGTACTTCCCAATTCCAATTGCATGAATGTAAAATTTGACACATTCAGTCAATGCTTTGTCATGCCGGCCAAATACGTGGTTATCTTCCTTCTGCTTACTTTTACTTTGGGAAAACGTAATGACCACGTGGCAGCTTTCAGGGAAACAACTGAGGGGCATTCCCAGGTTTATGTACCCTTGGATTCCTTCTGTGCCACGCACAAGCATTTCTTGGCCTTGGTGAGTTTCTATCTCTTTTCTGAGAGCCTGGAGAGTGTTGAGAGCCATATATAAGCTACCATTCTCACTATGTGTGAGCTCATGTTTCATATTTTGGTTTTTCCTGTAGTTTACATCCAAGGTAACAAGTATTATCCTATTTTTGGGCATAGTCTGGTCTTCTGGATTTTTCTTAAGTGAATGGAATTCTTGAGCCTGGGTATTAGTTACGTCTCTTGGGCCTCCTCTAGACTCCAACCTCATTTGAGAAGTACTGGAATTATTCTGTTGCTTTTTAGAGACCTAAAAATAAATGTTAAGATACTTTAAAACTCTGAATGCAACCCTCCTCTTTTGTTTCTCTTTTCAGGTATGCAATTCACAAAATTCCTATAAGAAACTCAGAACTAATCGAAAAGGGCCAGTGAATAGAATTAAATCACTGCTTGACATGGGATCCAAAATGAAAGCTTAGCTTCCTATAACATCTGTCAGATGAACTCTCAATACTACTACACTAGTGTATTTTTATGAAAAATATGAGGGAAGAAACAGATTTTTTTCCCAGGTGCCTCTAAAACAGAGATTCTTAAAAGCTCACTAGCGGCCGGGCATAGTGGCTCACGCCTGCAATTCCAGCATTTTGGCAGGCCAAGGCAGGTGGATCACCTGAGGTCAGGAGTTCGAGACCAGCCTGACCAACATGGTGAAATCCCGTCTCCACTAAAAATACAAAAATTAGCCGGGTATGGTGGCATGCGCCTGTAGTCTCAGATACTCGGGAGGCTGAGGCTGAAGAATCGCTTGAACCTGGGAGGTGGCGGTTGCAGTGAGCCGAGATTGCGCCATTGCGCTCCAGCCTGGGCAACAAGAGTTGCTCCATCACCCCTCCCAAAAAAAGTCCACTAGTATTTTAAATAGTTTTATTTCAGGACTTGATTATTATCTTTAGCTATATAATTTTTATATTTCCTGAGGACAATGATAAATTACAGCAAAAAAATTGTTCTTGAAATACTAAATTCAGCAATAGGCTACCACAATTTATTATAAGCATTACATATTAAACAAAATCATTATTTAACTAATCATTTGGTTATAATATAGTTATTTGTGACAATAAATACTTTGATTCACCCAGCATATAGCATGAAAAGAACTCAAATTATTTTCTCTATTACATCAACTAATCCCCAAATTTTATAAAATAAGGAGGAACAAACATGACTTATCTGTCCTTTTGATGGAGAAACTAAGGCACTGAAAGTTTTTCTTGTAGACGTCTTTTCTAGGGCCACATGATAACCGATAAATAGAGTATCAAAATTGCAATTCCTAATCCAATTATTTTTTCCATTGGACTAGTGTATATATTCTTTTTGGTAAACTTTGCATTTATGATTGTCATTTTTGTAGGGCATTATCTTAAGAAACAGGGGTGAAGGTGGGGAGCGGAATTAAATAAAGAAGATTAATCAAATAGTAGAAACTCGATGAAAAATTAGAGTGTCTGTTTCTTATGTCTAAAAAACACATTTTTCCCAAGTCATATTCATCATGGCATGGGTACCAGCAGATATGGGTCCATATGCCAGCAATGCCCCTTACTGCTACTGGGAATAACAATGCCAGGAATATTGTAAAGATTAAGTGTAGCATCATTGTATGACAATGCCTAGCACAATGACTAGCACATGTTAACATTTGTTTTCCTTCTTTATACTAATATTCCAGATCAAAAATAAATAAAAGGGACTTAAGGTAATACAGATTTCCTTGGGCACACATATGAATTCTCAAAGAGCATCCCTTCAGTCTAAGGCTATCAGAAACATCTTTTCATACACCCTGTTGGAGTACTATGATAAATTTCCTATTTATTAAAGTGATTCTTGGGCAGACATAGACACCTCTGAAAGGGGAAGAGGAATAGGATATAGTAATTAGCTCTGTCATGGAATAGGATAGAGAAAAACATAACTAAGTTTGCCTTAGACTTTTTAGATACTTGGATATTCTAGTTTTCCAGAACCAGGATAAAACAAAACAAGTTGAGAAATTGTAAGCTGCATACTCAAATATTTATCATTCTTCAACTTTTTTCTTGATAAATTCAAGGAGCATTTTAGACTCAGGGAAAGATACAATTGTTTGATATGATAACAGAGCCCAATCAGTAGAAAAAGGCCCAATTACATGTCATTACTTCATTCCTGTCTTAAGCAACAACTCACTTGCTCCCTCTTCTCCAATAAACAAATTGAAGATTTGTCAGAATCCTTCCTGACTTCCTAACAAGGTTATGGTAAGAACAAATATATCAAAAAATTGTTTTATAAACTGTATTCAAATGTGGGTTATAATTATGATTGAATAGATCAGCCACATTTGGAATGGTATATGTTTTCATGCTATGAAATTGCATTAATTTTGTATTATTACATAGTTTACTGTAACATATTGTATTGAAGTTTTTGTTGTTATTCAAGAAATATTAAAATAGTTTTTCATTAAAGACTGCTTTGATATAGCCAAGAGTTGTATTACAACTCCCTTCCCCATGCTACCCCCAAAATAGAAAGGATAAAATAAGTAAGGACAATTTTAGTTATTTAATATTTCCAACACTCAAGGTAATTTCTTGGCAAGAAGAACTATAAAACCCAATGCCAAGGATAGGTAAGTCTAATATTGGTAAACAGGCTTTAGTATCTGTGGGTTCTGTATCTATGGGTTCAACCAACTGCAGATTGAAAATATTTTGGGAATAAAAACTAGTGTGCCTGAACTAAACATGTATGACTTTTTTTCTTGTCATTATTCCCTAAGCAATATAGTATATCAACATTTTACATAGCATTTACCTCTTATTAGGTAATATAAATAATCCAGAGATGATTTAAAGTATACAGGAGGATATGATACATTATATGCCAATACTATGACATGTTATGTGAATAATTTGAGCATTCATGGATTTTGGTATCCAAGGGAGATCCTGGAACAAATCCCACATGGATACCAAGGGATGACTAGATTACATAAGTAGAATTTACAGACATACCGGAGAAAAATAGCGATCGATTTTCATATTACATTTTTCATTGACTGAGTGCTTCTGTGACCTCTGCTTCTTACAGCTCATGATGGCTTGAAGATGAATGGATGGTTCAGCTGAAATACTAATTTCAAATTTTCAAGTTATAGCAGTATCTTCAAAGCTGTCATTAATTGTACAGAGGAAAAGATTAGCTGGTGTCCTATGTCCCATCTTTCCCCTTGAGCTCCAGCCTTGCTCTCCCTGGAGATGGTACCTTAGCAAATAGATAGTTTATTCACCAACTATAATCACCTCAACAATAAAAGCTCCCTTTTCCAGAATACTGCGTGTCAGGCACTTCATGAAAATTATACTAAACACTTTATGAAAATTATCTCTAGTTGCAAATTCCTATAGATACTATGCAAATTAGGTATATTTACACTTTGCTGATGAGGAAAGTATAGCTTAGAGAAGGTAGACGAGCTGCCCAAGGCCAGAGCTATGTGGCAGAGATGGAATTCAAATGCAGGTATAAATAATATAATAATTTTCAGTTGGAAATTTCAAAAAGGTGTTCTAGTTACATTGATGTTAAAATCTGGTCTCCATTTAAGATGAAGACGGCAAGAGAAGATAAAATTACAGGAAAGTGGTGAGGAAAGAGCTGATGAAAGAAACTTGGAATGAGATTTTAAAAAGAAATCTGGGGCCAGGCGCGGTGGCTCACGCCTGTAATCCCAGCACTTTGGGAGGCTGAGACAGGCAGATCACGAGGTCAGGAGATTGAGACCATCCTGGCTAACATGGTGAAACCCTGTCTCTACTAAAAAAAAAGTACAAAAATTAGCCAGGTGCAGTGGCGGGCGCCTATAGTCCCAGCTACACTGGAGGCTGAGGCAGGAGAATGGCTTGAACCTGGGAGGCAGAGCTTGCAGTGAGTGGAGATCGCGCCACTGCACTCCAGCCTGGACGACAGAGCGAGACTCCGTCTCAAAAAAAAAAAAAAAGAAAGAAATCTGGAAAGTGTGCCAGGTATGATAGTCAGAAACCTTAGGTTGCTGCTTTAGATTTTTTGTTTAAAGAGGTATTTTTCCTTCTATCTCTCCTCTGATGTCTCCCTAGAAGAGGATGAACAAACTTTAAATAAAATAGTGACATCTTCAATAGTAATAAATAACGCTAGAAAAACAAATACCATTGAGGGCAGCAGCCATGTCTGTCCTTAGTACCTCAATATCTAAAAACTATGTCTGAGACATGTCAGGCCCTTCAAAAAGATACATTTCTAAAGGTACATTCAATAAACGAATGGAATAGGCATACAGTGTACTATGCCCTTTTCTAAATGCTTTTCATCAACTACCTCATGTAATTCTTACAACCCTATGAGATAGGTACTATCATCTCATTTTACTGGCAAAGAGCTAGAACACCCAGGGAGCTTAAACTTCTACTCAAGGTCATACAACTCAGAGAATATACTTTCAAGACTTTTTATTATGAAAAATTTATTAGAGAAAAAAATGAGAGAATGGTATAATGAACCTGTACATACCTATCACATAGTTAACAATTGTTCATTTTTGCCAACTTATATAACAGTGAAACAGTAAAAGAACATAACTAACTCTATCTTTGTTCACGGGGCCTTTACCCATTCATGCATGGAGGGGAGGTTAATTTTAGAGCAGTGAGATAACATGCAAAAACATGTAGTTTTAAAAACTAACTCTGGGATTAAAGGGAAAGTATGTAAACAACTACACATTGTTAAAAATTTATAGGAGGGTTGTGATGTGGAGAATAAATATAATCTTTGGATAACTTCCATTTGACAAGAAATACAGGGGCTAGAACATAAGTTAAACAACAACATGTAGAAGCAGCCCAGGAAATCAACATTCTATAGAGACAACTTACCTGTTCTCTTCAACAAATCAATGCTTGGGCTCACTGGAACATCAGGACAAAGATATTCCCAACCTTCTTGGACCCCTGACGGTGCTCAGATGCCTGCAGTCAATGGTCACTTCTTGATTGTAAATCCCTTCTCTTCCCCATGCCCTTAACATAAAGAGCCTGAAACTTGTACTCACTTAAGAGGGTACTTTGGGATGCTAGTCTGCCAACTTCTCAGTTTGCTGGCTCTCTGAAGGAACCTGCTTTTCCTCCCACCAACTCTCATCTCTGATGTTTGGCTTTGAGGTGTGAGTTGCTGAACTTGGGTTTGGCTACCCTTACACCATCCTTTTATTTTACTAGATGATTTATGTTACAGCTAGAAACATCATGACATTTAAACGCTAATGGTCACTTCCCATCTCTAAAAATTACGTACTTTTTCTTATATAATCACAATACTGATTTATTCATACTAAGATCCAACTGAAGTACACAGTTTCCTTTATATGTCTTATAAGGCTCTTTTATTCTAGAAAAAGCATTGATTTGTTGAAGAGAACAGAGAAATTGTCTCCAGAGAATGTTCACCTCCTGGGTTGCTTCCTCATGTCATTGTTTAACTTATGTTCTAGCCCCTGTATTTCTTGTCAAATGGAAGTTATCTAAAGGCTACGTTTACTCTCGTAACCATTCCACTATGGAGCAAGAGTCCTGGCTTTCTAGTTTACTGTCAATCAATTACTAAGGAAATTCATTTAGCCTTTCTGTGCCTCAATTTCTTGTTTGTAAAAAGAGGCAATGATTCTAAATGAGATAATGAATATGGAAGTGCTAAAATAATGTTAGACCTTATAAGACCATCTGAGTTCAGATATCAGGTAGCCACTTACTAGCTGCATGACCTTGGGCATATTAATTAACTATTCTTCCTTCATTTTCCTCACCCTAAGATGGGAATCAACCTTGTTATGAAGATTAAGAAATACGTTGTGGTCTGGGCACGGTAGCTCATGCCTATAATCCCAGCACTTTGGGAGGCCAAGGCTAATGAATCACTTGAGGTCAGGAGTTTGAGACCAGTTTGGCCAACCTGGTGAAAACCTGTCTGTACTAAGAATTTAAAACTAGCTGGGCATGGTGGTAGGTGTCTGTAATCCCAGCTACTTAGGAGGCTGAGGCAGGAGAATGGCTTGTACCTGGGAGGCAGAGGTTGCAGTGGGCTGAGATCATACCACTGCCCTCCAGCCTGACCAACAGAGCAAGATGCCATCTCTCTCTCTCTCTCTCCCTCTCACATACACACTATATATACACATATATATATATGCAATCTATCTATACATAGTATGTGTGTGTGTGTGTGTGTATATATATATAAAGAGAGAGCATGCAAAGCCTTTAAAACTGTAATAGGTTGCCTGTAATAGGTTGCCCAGTAAATAATCAATAAAAAGGTGATGTAAATGTTATCAATATCAATACACTCACTACAGGGGTACTTTTTAAACAGCAGAGAACCTAGGAAAACAAAAATAGAAAATATATAATTGCGGAACTGGTCTATGTTGCAACATCCTTAAATGCAAGAACTTGTTGCCCAACTATTAAGAAAATCTAGGGATTCACTGTGTCTGTTCATGAAGTCTCATCTTATGAAGTCTGAGAGAGGGTCCAGCTGCTTTAGGAGTGATTAATAGACACAGACTAAAAAGAAAATAAAATGGGCAGAAAGAAACATGAATTTTGCATGTACTTGAGTAATCACAGTGGAAAGGGGCAAGAGGTTAAGAAAACACTCCAATATCCTCTCTTTCCTACATTGTTTCCAGTATCCAGGATGAATCAGATTATATCAAAATATAAAGAACTCTTAGCTATCCTATACCACCCCCTGTTTTATACTTGAGGTCAGGGTTCTACTTACCTAAATGACTTGCTTGGCTTCCTACAGCAAAGGGATAAAGCAGTGCGGCCTGGGGCCCATGTCCAGCCCACCTGACAGCTCCCCTTAGGAATTTCTCTGTCTCTCAATCTCTCCTTCCTTCCCTCTCTTCTTCCCCCTCTCTGCCTCTCTCCCTCTCCTCCCCTCCTTCACTCTCCCTCTCTTCCTGCTTCTCCCCACCCCAGCCCCCACTTTCTGCCTTTCCAGGGGCAAGGGCAGGGGTCCAGGCCAACTCCAAGCCTCTTCCAATCTTACCACGCCGCCCCGCTCCCTCCCCCTGACCCCGCACACAAGGGGACTTACAGCACCACCAGAATAAAACCTGTGTCCTCCCGGCTCCCCAGATGGGTGGCGCTGTCAGTCCCTGACTTCCAGGCACCCAGCTCCTTCCCCTCCCAGTAGGGACTCGAGCCCCCCAGGGCCGCGCCCGTGCCCGTGCCCCGCGGAGCACCCCAGCGCCCTGTGTGCTGTCTCACTGCGGGCCTCGCCAGCACTGGGTCTGGAATCCAGCGCTCAGTGCAGGTCCCGCTCGCATTTGAGGAAGCAAAGACTCCAGAGCTCCAGCTAGGCGGGAAACGGAGCAGGTGGGGCTAGGGGTTTGAATCACCAGCCTTTTAAGGTTGTCTGCGAACCAATTGGTTACTTTCTTTCACTTTTAAATCAGCCTAAACCTCCCACGCACCTCTTCCCTCTTCTGTCTCTCCTTTCTTTTGCTTCTATGGACCACTGGAAAAGCGGGGAGACTGGCCGTTCGGGGGCCTCAGGTAGCTGCAGCGTGCAGTACTTGACGCTGTGTTTATATCAGACAGCACTGCCAGTCTGAATCAAAACTTTCTGAATTTCCTAATCCCCAGAGCCAGCGTGAGAAGCAGACTTGAGCCTGTTCTCTTCCCTTGAACTTTTCTTTTACACGAGTACAACAAAAAACAACTCACCTGGGGAATGGCGCGTCTGGCCAATGGACTGAAAGATACTGGAGTTTGTCTTTCTCTTTAGACAGCAACTCACCTACTTCGGAAGCCGATTGGCTGCGGTGGGGATACCTGGTGGCACGCAAAAAAAGGGTGGTTGGAAAGGCAAGGCCGAGGGAGCGCACCCATCCTACGCACCCACAGCGCTCCTCCTTGACGCCGCGAGCAGGACCCTGTCTCACTGACCTCGCCGCCCAAGGCGGTCCTTGCCTCCTTCTATTCTCCGGGTTTCCCCAGTCCCGAGTATTGGAAAGTGTGAACAAAAGCGAAAGCGTCCTAGTCGCGGGTAGGTTGGCCTGGGCGGGGCTGCAGAGGGAGCAGGAAATCAAAACTCAGATGTGGGAGGAGCTGGGACGTTGGCGGCAGAGCCACTGTAGCAGCTTGAGTCTCGCGCGCGCGGGAAGCGGAGGTGGGGCGCAAGAACATGCCTGTCCTGGCCTGTACATCATGGTTGGGGAGGAGGCGCGGAGGCACCAGGCCGGGGTTTGCAGCGCGCCATCTGCTGCAGTCCACAGGAGGCGCTGAGGCTAGTTGGGTAAGTGGGGACATGCAGGCATTTCCCAGGGGGCGGCATCCCCAGCAGATGCGATAGGCCTGGACACTCCGACAAAATCACTCAGAAGCCGCGGATGCAGGAAGAGTAAACGTCCTTGTCAGAAATCGATTCTTCAAACGTTCACCAATATGTGGAGACGTTTATGATAGTGATGAAGAAGATGATATGGGCTCTAGGAATATGCATCCGAAAGCTGATGATCAAAGAAGACTGGAGAGGGTTTTCAAGGCAGCCTGCTGTTTAAGAACCTGCATTCTGAGTAGATGTGTATTGGAGAAGGCGACTACAGTCACAAAGGGGACGACTTTTATGCAATCGACAGAGGACTATATGATGTATATAAACAGGTAGGGTCGAATGGTGTGTTGGTAACTACAAAACACGTGGGAATTTGGAGGAAGGAACTGGCCTTAAATGCATGTACAATACACCAAGGGAAGCTAAAATTACTGCTTCATCTCCTGTGGGTTCTTTGGGGTTTGGATAGAGTAAACTTAAAACATTTGAATGCTGACTTTTTCTGTGATACTCACTTTTGGAATCTGTGCATTCCTACATTCAGAAAGCGTAATCACAGCTAGTACCCAGCATCCAAACAATGGCAGCCAAGAGTTCTACTCTGGAGACAATTTTCGTTCTTTCTTTCTTTCCTTCTTTCATTCCTTCCTTCTTTCTCTTTCTCTTTTTTCTTTTATTCTTCCTTCCTTCCATCCTTCTTCTCTTTTCCTTTCTTTCTCTTTCTTTCTCTCTCTCTTTCTTCCTTCCTTCCTTCTTTCTTCCCTTTTTTCTTTTATCTTTGTTTCTCTCTCAATTTTCTCCCTCCCTCCTTCCCTCCTTTCTTCCTTCTTTCTCTTTTGCCTGTTTTACATTTCAATGTGTAAGCAAATGGTGATTAAAGGACAATAGGCTTAAAATATTCTAAAACAAGGGTGTTAAGAATTGAATATACTGATAAAATTTGTTTCCAAAAGGAAGGGTTATATACTAGGTGAGAGTGTAAATTAGTTCAACCATTGTGGAAAACAGTGTGGCAATTCCTCAAAGATTTAAAAAGAGAACTACCATTCAACCCAGCAATCCCATGACTGGGTATGCACCCAAAGGAATATAAATCATTCTTTTGACACATGAACACATATGTTCCTTGCAGCACTGTTCACAATAGCAAAGAATCAACCTAAATGCCTGTCAATGGTAGACTGGATAAAGAAAACTCAGTATACCATTGAATACTACACAGCCATAACAAATAATGAGATCATGTCCTATACAGGGACATGGATGGAGCTAGAGGCCATTATTCTTGGCAAACTAATGCAGGAACAGAAATCAAATACTGCATAGTATCACTTATAAGTGGGAGCTAAATGATGAGAACACACGGACACACAGAGGGTAACAACAGACGCTGGGGCCTATTGGAGGGTGGAGGATGGGAGGAGGGAGAGGATCAGGAAAAATAACTAATGGGTACTAGGCTTCATACCTTGGTGGTGAAATAATCTGTACATCAAACCCCCATGACATGAGTTTACCTATATAACAGACCTGCACATGTACCACTAAACTTAAAAGTAAAGTTTTTAAAAAAGTTTTCAATCTACGAAGTTGAGATTTACTAGAAAGGTTATTAAAATGATTTTGATATATTAAAATATTAGTGCACAAGGAAATAATAAAAAGTTATTATTATAGAAGATATAAAACATGTTCCTCTACCTAATATCTGTGCAACTAAACCTACTATATACCAAGATATTTATCAACATTCTTTCTGAAATTTTTGTCATTTTGTATAATTTTAATCATATTTCTTTTAAAAACGTTTATGGCATGATAAGTTATGTGTTGGCTTACTGCTGAAAGGGCATAAAATAACAATTCTTAAACTTTATGTATATTTGCAGTGAAATACATTTTGGCTTTAGGCAATAGGAACATAACTTTTTTTGGATGAAAGATTACTGTCACATTTTTTCTTCATTATCTGACATCTTTGTCATTTTCTTAACTTATATTACTAACTACAGTTCCCTACATTTTCAAAAAAAAGTCTAATATTGACATTTATTTCTCTGTAGCAAACTTTGGCTATTGTTTTTTCTACTAATTTCGGGCAAAAATGAAGTATTAATTTCAGTTACAAAATATAGCTTAGTAAGATCTAAACAAATAAAATTCACATTCTAAAGTCTACAAACAAGTTTTAATAAGGTATTTTGGCCATTAAACGTATGCTAGGAGGAGCCACTCACAGTTCTCTGGACAATCTTAAAGCTGCATGATGTCAGGATAACTAACCTCTGTCACTTGTGCCTTGTACTTCTGATCTTTCTAGTTCTCATCTTGTCTGGTGACGCTGGAGAGAACAGTGCACCAGTCACATTGCCCCTTCAATCACCCACTCCCTGCTCTGCCTTCATCCACCAGGTTTGCCTATTCTCCCAGGTACCCAGCAGCAAAATAAATTAAACAAGACCAAAATGAATAGAGAATATATCTTGTTCAAGATTGGAAGACTCAACATTGTTAAGATGCTAATCATCCACAATTGTGTTAATTTTTTTACACAATTAACACAATTTACACAAACACACAAACTTTGATCCAGATATAGCACCATACAAAAAATAAATAAAACTTAAAATCAATTGCAGACTTAAACCTAAAACTACAAAACTCTGGAAGAAAACTTAGAAATGTTTTGTGATCTTAGATTTAGCACAGTTCTCTGATGTAAAAAACAAAAGCATGATCCACAAAGAGAAATATAGAGAAAGTGAACTTCATCAAAGTTGAAAACTTTTCCCTCCCAAACAGGACTAAGAGGATGAAAAGACAAGCCACACAGAGATAAAATATCAGCAATTATCACAAATATTATGAGAAAAGCAACATGACAAAGGACTTGTTTCCAAAATATGTAAAGCCCTCTCAAAACTCAGCAATAACCAACCAGGATAAAAACGGGCAAAATATTTTAATAGACACGTCACCAAAGATATGTGGATGATATAAACACATGAAAAGATGCTCAAATCATGAGTCATTAGTGAAATGCAAATTAATACCACAAAAAGATGCCATTACATACCTATGAGAATGAATAAATCAGAAAAACTTTGTGTTGAAAAGTGTATGAAACGACTGGAACTCTCATATATTGGTAGCGAGCGAGTGAAATCATACAGCCATTTTGCCATTTTGTAAACATTTTGACAATTTCCTATAAAAGTTATGCCATAACTTTCCATGACAGCAATTCCACTGCTAGGTGGACCCAAGAGAAATGAAAACTAATCTTCATACAAAAACCTGTATGAAAATGTTCACAACAGCTTTATATACAAAGTCCCGAAATGGGAAACAGTTCAAATGCTTTTCAGTGAGTGAATGGATAAACAGATTTTGATACATTCACACAGTGGAATGCTACTCAGCAATAAAAAGAAAAACCTATCAATGCATGAACAACACTTATGACACTTAAGTGAAATGTTCGAAGTGAAAGAAGCCAGACTCAAACGGTATAATTCAGTGTATGTTCCATTTACATGATGTTCTGGAAAAGGCAACACTAGAGTAATGAAGAAATTAGTGGTTGCCAGGGACTGGGGTGAATAGGGGATTAGTGGGGAGAACAGGGAATTATTTAGAGTGATGGAACCACACAAGGAATTATTTAGGGTGATGGAACGGCTTTGCTTCTTGATTTTGGTCATGGTTACATTACTGTAGGCATTTGTTATAGGCCATTCAACTGTATACCAAAAAGATTGAATTTTACTGTCTATGAAATAAATAAATTTAAAGGAAACAATAAAAGTTAAAGCCTTTCAAATAATCTGTAAGACAATTAATTGGGTGTAGGGGTTTTTGTGTTCATTTCTATCACTTTTTTTGTATCTTCTACTTTTTCCACTTTTTCTAAATTTATATTCCCTTGCTTTGTTGCCTCCTTTATTTTGACTTTTCCCTCTTGTTCTATTTTCCAGACAAATAGTTTGGCAGTTTTATACCCTCGTTCTGTTCTATCATTGGATGCCCTAGACTAGTACTGCCCAATAGAATGTCTGCAGTGATGGAAATGTTCTACATCTGTACTGTCTAATTCCACAGCCACAAGTGGTTGTTCTTAAGTACTTAACATGTGATGTAACTGAGAATTTGTACTATTCACCTTTTTCATTATTTGATTTTAGTTAAGTTGAATTTAAATTTAAATTTACATAATCACATGTGATTAGTGGCAACTGTCTTGAACAAAATAGCCCTAAACATTTTAACATTAATATTTAACTTAACAAAGTCCAAAGTGAATTGAATAACTCCTCCTAAGCAATACAAAGATAAAGTCTGTAAACACGTCTTCTTTATTTACAGAAGAAAATCCAAAGACCTA